CCATTTATTGCCAGACCAGACTATTAAACACTTCTGAATGGATAGGGCTGCCGAATGCGGCAGAGTGAAAATCTGGTCAGTGGTGGATTTGCCAGGTCTGTTGCCGCATTGGTATGGTCCAATAATGTAATTGCTCTTTCCATATCCTCAGCACGCTGTCTGTATCTGTTACCAGATTCCCTTTTTTATCCCTACAGGAGGATAAGCCTGCACCAAAGCATTCGGTTTGATTTTTTACCCGTCCGGACTTTGTTCCTGTACATCTTGATTTGCTCCCGCTCACGTTTTTCTTGTTTTTTCTTCTTTTTCCAGAAAAATTTGTTTCTCCTCTCTTCTTTTCTCCTGATAATTCTCCCATGGTACAATTATAAAAGGTAACAGCAATTCCCAGCTGATTTGATTCCAACGTAATACTAGTGTCAATATGAATTTGACAAATTATGTTTTTAAAAATCACCCAACAGGAAAATTGGGAACGCATACAATTTGAAATTGTTCATTATTAAATGTGCTCCCGTATTCAATTTACTAAATCTGCCTGCTGGGAAAGTTTCAGGAAGCAAATCTTTCTTCAAGGAATAACTCGCTATTCCCGGCATTTTCATATGTGTTACACATATATGTGGCAATGGCTCAATTATAGGAAAGATGTGGAAGCGATAGAAATATAAATTTGAAAGATTTTCATTCATGTTTTTCAGTCCGTGGAACTTGAAAACTACAGCTTCGAGGTAGGCAAATATTTTATATACCTTGATACCACCATAAATAAAACTAATTACATCAGTTTTGAAATTCGGAGAAGGATAGTGTTGTCCAACAGATACTATGGTCTATGTAAGCAATTAAAAAACAAGGCCACCTTCCGCCAGACCAAACTCATACTCTAAAAGACACTGATACTACCCGTGCTGTTATATGGATCTGAAGCATGGGTACTTGCGCAAGCAGATGAGGCAGCTCTTGGAGTGTTTGAGAGAAAAATTCTCCGAAAGATTTATGAGATGATCTGATCTAGACTGTGAATATCGCCGTCGAATGAACCATGAGTTGTACCAGCTATTCTCGGACATCGGCATTGTCAGACCTATCGGGCTGCAGCGATTAATTTGGCTAGGTCATGTTGTGAGAATGGATGATGGCTCACGCAGAAGGGGAAGGACACTAATCAGATGGAAAGTTCAAGTGAAGACAACATTGCCGAACATGGTCTTTCAAATTGGAAAAACTGCGCAAAAGACCGAGTGCCTGGAAATCTTTTTTAAGCTCGGCTTATGAAGCGAAAGTTCTTTCACAAACCAGCTAAGTATGGATGTAATCAACATTTCCCCACTCCGTTTTTGGAAGTAATCATAACCATTCATTCATATTTCCCGATTTTAGTGATGTGTCAAATAAACTTAGTATCTTATTATTATCAATATTTAAATTGGCTGTAATATAGTATTTTGGATCGTCACTGGTAACAAAAATTCGCAATATTGACTCCATATAACAGTATCCTGTTTTATTTGAAAGATTTTAGGTTTTAGCCAAATTAGCTTTAATTTGATTTTTTGGGTTCTTATTGGTTGTCAAATATATTTATTTTAATTATAATTTATTTTAATTTACTAATCTTTTTTCAATACGTATCATATTTTCAATTATTTATCCGTTAATCACAGCGTTTTTAAACTTCTCTACGTTTTTGTATAAAACATGTGTATGGCAACACTGCCCCTTTAACACATTCAAAGTAATTTTAACGGTTTTCTATACATTTGTTTGCTATACAACACTGTTTCCTGTACAAATTTGCCCGCTCACACGTTTTTCTTCTCTCTCTGTCGTTCGCTCCCTCTCATCCAACGGAATTTATGCTGCCTAAGCTTTTTTGTGTGTGTTGTGTTTTTCAAAAGTTTTGTTGTGTTCCGTTCAACTATCTGTCAGTTGATGGTCTGCAAGCAAAGTTGTAGCAAGTCGTCGTGTATTTGTTCTTCGTATTGTTGTGTCGTGTCCATTAGTTGTCTACTGGACAAAATACCTTTGGTTTCCACACATCCCCTTCCCCTGCCTGATTCCTTTTCATATGACGTATTTATTGAATTGTTTATATAGAAGAGTGTATGTAAAAAAAGAAGAAATATTTCATGTTTTAATAATTTCTTGTGTTAAAAAAGTTTCCTGGGCGTGCGTTTTTAATGTGAATGCGCGTGAGTGTGTGTGTCTGTGTTTGAGTGGGGATTACTTGCCCCGTCAGCGTGCAACCAACAAATAATACAAAAAAACCAAACGTTTTGAATATACCATAGCACATAAACAAATATTAAATGCAAAGTGACGTCGTCGTATGAGACGAAGAAGAAGCCAAAAGTCAAAAAAGAATCAAGACAAAACAAGACAACAACAAACGAATTAATAACGACAACAAACTGTTCAAAAAAGAAGTGTTTTTGAAGGGAGGGAAGTAGACGTATTATGTGGCGTTAAGAAAAATATTGGTGGCAACAGATTGTTGCGTAAATTGTGTTGCAATAAAAACAAAAAGAGTTGAGTGTGTGTGAAGGAAAAATTGTAAAAATTATTAATTTTTTTCTTGTTGTTTTGTTTAGATGTAAACAAAAAAGCAAAACAACAAACGTGTTTATTTGTGACCATTTATCACTCGAAGAGAAAGAGCGGAAAGTGACCAAGAGAATATTTTGTCAACATTGTGGCAACAGCAGAGGAAGAAACACAAAATTAAAAGAAATTGCAAATCTGTGCCTGTGCGTCATCTTCCAGTTTTTTCTTCGTAGCCCCCACTTCTTACTTGCTGCCTTTCGTCCTGCCAAGAAAAGTCTTGTTCACAGTGGTGTTGGTTTGCCTTTCCATTCGTTCGTTCGTTGGTGTATTGTCTTTGCCGAAGTGCCAAGATTAGGTTGTTGGCCTGTTAACCTAAACTAGAAAAAAGAAGAAAAGAAAAACAACTTGCCTTTCATTTTTCCTCGTTCGTGTTCGTGTCCTTTCTTATTACCCACAATTGTGGTTCGTGTCTTGCCCACCCCCTCTCAAACATTGTCATCATCGTTTGTGCAGTAAATCGTATGAACTTACCGAGATTTAAGTGATTACACCCACTACTCTCCCTCCTCCCCCTCCCACATATACACACATTTGTTGTGTATGACTGTGTGTGTCTGTGTTTAATTTGATTGTCTTGAGAGAAAGGAATCATAACAATTACTCAGAGTGTGTCCGTGTGTGAGTGCATTATTGTAACGGTTTTTAAATTGTGGCGCCGCATTATTTCAAAAGTTGTCGTTGTCGTCACCCAGAACATCGGTCATGGTGCGTTTAACTCGTAAAGAACGACAGGACAAAATCAATTTGCTGGCCAGCATCAATAAGGTCAACAGCGATGAAGTGGATGCCACAGATAATGGTAAGTACCAAATAACCGCTAAAGATGATTTATAGGAATTAATGAAAATAAGAAGAATATTGAAAATTGGACATCATAATTTATCTATCAGGAAGTTTTTTTGCTGTGAAGACCAAACTGCAGAAACTTGAGTTTAACGTAGTAGGTATATTGAAAATATTCTGCGAAGTTTTACCAAGAACTCGAATGTCGTATTACACTTTATCCGCAGAAAAATGCGGTTAAAACATTTATAACACCGAAACATTTAAATACGCTTCTACAGTTTTTTGGCCACGAAAATAGTTGTCCATATAGTTGGGCGCCATGTTAGGTCTGTAGATTTGAAAAAGATATAGATTTTGAAGGTTTCTAATAATGGATAAGATATAATCAAATTGGGGTTAATGTAGATTTTTTAAATATTTTTTTACGGAGCCCTTAAAAAGGCCCCGATTTTTAAAATATATTTTACGGAGGCATATATAAACTGTAGATTTTTAAAATATTTTTTACGGAGGCATATATGAGCCGTAACTTTTTTAAAATTTTTTTTCGGAGGCCTATATGAGGAGCATTGGATGAAATTTGACACAGCTCATTTATTTGGCCCAAGGACGAACCATATCAGTTCAGATTTAGATGTAGCTCCCATTTTTTCTTGTCCGATTTTATCTAAATGGTGTACCAAAGCCCCTATATAGCTTTCGATTTACACGAAATCTGGCATAGCGCACTGAACTATGTGTAGAATGATGTGTGTTAAGTTTCAAGAATATCAGTTCATATTTAGCTATAACTCCCATATATATATATATATATATATATTAATCCGATTTTATGTTAAAGGATCACCAAAGCCACTATATGTCTTCCGACTTTCACGAATTTTGGAAAGCGTACTGGATTTAGTCTAGAATGATGTGTGCGAAGTTTTTTGAACATCAGTTAAGATTGACAAATACTTCCTATATATATTTTCGTCCGATTATAAGTAACTGGTACACTTAAGATCCATATCTAGACCGATTGACAAAACGTACTGAAGTTGATATAAATTAATCTCTGGCAAATTTCCTTGAAATCGATTCAGATATAGATATAGCATAGCTTCCATATATAATTTCGACCTATTTATGTTAATTGTACACCAAATAATGAATGATGAAGATTAAATTTTAAACAGTGCAGCATACCAAATAGCTTGTGTCATGTTTCCTTTAAATTGATTTACAAAATTTATCATCAATAAGCTATCCGACTATTGAAATTTCTGTGTGACGTTATTTACTTTACAATGAGAAGTCCAATTGGCGAGGAATGTGGCTGACCCATATGATATACACGAGCCTAGACTCCATTCTGTTTGTCGTATTCACATTCACACATATATCGATATAGGAAGGATACAATGGATGCTGGAAGTAGGAGCATTTTCGCCGTCAACATCGGAATACGCAACAGTAACCGACGTCGCAGCCGCTTACTTCCTGAGCATGCTCTCCTATTTGTACAGCACTACGTTGCTGGTGGGCGTTATTGCACCAGTGGCTAACACTGTGAGGTAGACCATACCTCACAGATACTCTATTCAAATCATCTGAGCAATTTCCCCAGCAAGCACATCCAGCTTCATGTTTCTCGCTTTAGTCCGCGGCTAGATGTTAACCAACTTCCTTCTGTGTTTAAAGGATGGAAGGAACTATACCGGCATTTCTACAACCCGATTATGTTATTTATAATCTACACCGAATATAAATTTCAGAAATTTTTATGGATATTTATACCCTCAGCCTTATGGCTACTGAGGGTGTATACACTTTGATACGATAAATATGTGCTCCCATCCAAATATTGGTTCTAGACCTCATGTTTCTCTGGACAACATCCGTTTCAGAAAAGTTGGATTTCGTCCAAACTTTGCACATCTTGTTATTTCTTCCAAACTTAGTTCAAGTTCGAAGATGGGGAATATCGGTCCACTCCTTCTGGTACCTCCCACACAAAATGGTGAAAATTGTGGGTTGGGAATAACCGAACATTTGTAGTTATCATTATATGAGGTGATATGCCAAATTGATGAATTATATAGCTCAATTTCGAAACTAAAATTTTTGAATCAGAATACATTTTTTACACTAAATATTAAAAATACCTAAAATCGGTAGGTATTATATGAGGGCTAGGCCTAAATGCGGGCTATTGTTCATATATAGTTCATTATCGAACCTTACGTTCTAGTTTATTTATCTCGATATCCTCCGCAGGTGAAATGATTACAACAGGGTTTTAGAACCAAACCCAAAACGAGGAACAAATTAGATAACTATTTTAATATAAAAAATGGGTTATATGGGGACTACCCCGAAAAAGGGGGGAATATTAATAATTTCTGCTAAGGAGATTTGTTACCATTTACGACTACAAAATACCGAATTGCAGCTAAATCGGTTGGAAAACGCCCTCAAGAACCCCAAAATACCGAAAATGGGGGTACCCTTATATGGGGGCTATCCAAAAAATTGATCTATTTTTATTTTTTTTGTGGAGAGATTTGTTATCCAATAAGAACTCAAAAATACTAAATTACAGTCAATTCGGTGGAAAAATACGATCAAACTAAAAATTAGATGGTACCGTGTTTAGTATCCAATAAGAACCCAATGTACTAAATTTCAGCCCTTTTTTAAAAGCGCGCTCAAGAACCTGAAAAACAAAATTGGGGATACCCTTATATGCCTAAACGTGGACCGATATATCCCATATTCGAACTTGACAACCCTATGCAAAATTTCAGCACCATATCTCAATTCCTTCAGAAGACGGAATAGACGGGCGGACATAACTAGATCGTCTTAGAATTTTACCCTGATCATGAATATATATTCCTTATAGGGTCGGAAATGAATATTTCCGTGTTATAAACGGAATGACAAAATTAATATATCCCCCATACTATGGTGGAGGGCATAAAAAAAGGAACGAGATCAGAAAAAGGAAACTACATTAATTAAAGAGCTGGAACTAGTTCCGATCGTTCCTTTCTCGAAATAGTTCCTATGAACTAGTTCTTTCCGGAACTATCAAACTTATGTCGTATGTATAACGATTTTTGGGTTTTCCTTAGTCTTGATTTAGATTAGGCGAGTTTACTTGCGGCAATTCTTGTCGTTCTCTTTTGAACTTGCTTCATGCGTCTATACAAGGCAATTCGGTTTCCAAAATATGCATGGTATAATAATAAAAGGTAACAGCAAGTGTTGTTGTACAAAAAAACGATACAACAACCACATGGAAATTTGTTTTTGTAAGTTCTACTAGTGTCAACTCATTTGAAATAAAAATGTAAACAAACAAATTATCATCAAATTATTTTTATTTTGAAAATGAAATATTTTCGAATTCTCAAAATAAAAATTGAAAAACATGAATGAAAATCTTTCAAATTTATATTTCTATCGCTTCCACATCTTTCCTTTAATTGAGCCATTGCCATATATATGTGTAACGCATATGAAAATGCTGGGAATAGCTAGTTATTCCTTCAAGAAAGATTTGCTTTCTGAAACTTTCCCAGCAGGCAGATTGAGTAAATTGAATACGGGAGCATATTAATAAAGAACAATTTCAAATTGTATGCGTTTCCAATTTTCCTGTTGGGCGATTTTTAAAAACATAATTTGTCAAATTCATATTGACACTAGTACTACGTTGGAATCAAATCAGCTGGGATTTGCTGTTACCTTTTACAATTGTACCATGCAAAATATGTTTCTATTTGTTGTTTTTTCACATTTAAATACATATAAAACGTCAACAAATACGAAATACACAAAACGAATTGCCAGAAAATTGTCGGTACGAGCAATTTTTTTCATTTCTATTCCCCTTGCCCCTCTCTCCTACAAACAAAGACTTGCCGCAAGTAAACTCGCCTAATCTAAATCAAGACTTAGACATTTAAAGAGATAGGACGTAATGTCAAAATGACTGGGACGGATGGAAAAGTCTCGGTAGTTTCTGTTCGATGCGAAACTTATATATTTGGTGAGAGAAATGATTTAGTAGATTTAGTTGTTGAGTCGATGGTTTTAGAAGCAACCCAACTGGCAAACACACCAGTATCAGTCGAATGCTTTGTTGATTTTGTGGAGGATTTAATGTAGATCATGGCATAGCCTCTTTACCATGGCACGGACTTGGCAGCTTATTGTGGCGCCCAATAAGTCGAGTACTGTCGGTATACACTCCAGCGTTGATCTATGCTCCATGATCAACCGATAATCAACAAAGTACTAGTACTCAAGTGCAACAAAGTACTAGGAACCGGAAAATACCAAACAACGCCTAAAATTTTGTATGAAAAATATTTATAAGCTATCATATAACCCACCAAGTTTTGATGACGATTTTCCGGTTTAGTCTACATTTTTTTCAAACTTAAATTTTCCATTATTGTACCCATGAATTTATTGGCGTTCGTTATAACATAAAAACGTATATATGTATGTTGTTTTTTTTTATAAAAAAATACACTGCATAATATATTTAATAATAACAAATTTGGTACATTCGACATTCATCTTGTCTGTTCATTTTGATCGTGTGTGCGGATATTTTTAAAATTTTGATAGCTGCCATTTGTCTATTTGACGCCTTGCTGTTATGGAAGAAAATAAAATGTACGGGTCATTGTCTTATTTTTAGTAATATCGAAGCCAACAAAAAGAAAACAAAAGACATACGTACACTGGACGACAAAAGACAGGCACTAGGGATGCGAATGTGAAAATAGGGCAAAGAGTGCGGTTTTCATATATTTTTTTTAAATACCCTTTTGAACTATAAATGCCAATTTGTAAGAAATATTTTTAAGATCAAATGAGATAGAAAATTTTCCGAAAAAAACTGTATACAAACTTTTGCTGTTCAGTGTAATTGTTTTTAATACCTATGGTTTTTATTTATTTAATTTTATGCCACAGCAATAAAGCAAGACACTCACAAAATTATGAAGATAATTAAAATATTTATTGTTTTTTTCTTTTCCCAGATGCTTACAAAGATGGTGCCGATGGGAAACCACCAAAATTGGAACGTTCCTCAACAAACGAAATATTTCTCAAGGGTCTTCTGCTGAGCAATCCCTCCACGCCGAACAAAGAACTTTTGGTAAGTTTCGGAAAAAAACAGTATTCTTGCAACAAAAAATATTTTATGCTGCCACTATTTCCGCTGTGTCATACTTTCACTGCGGAAGCAAATACGTCGTAGTACGGTGTGTCTGTCACCCCAGCACAACAAAGGATTACCATAAAACCATTTGGTAACGGACATTTTTTTAATTGACACATATTTTTTTCTGTTTGATGTAGAGGGATTTTGACATTCGACATTGCGTGTCTGTCGGATTGTTTTGATGCCACGCTCGGGGTTTATGTTGTGTTTTTGTCGTTTGTTTATGTTCGGCGTTTTATGTGGCGGGATACGTATCAATGTTGCTTTTGTTTACGAATGGAATTGTAAAAGTAAACGGCAAAAATGAGCATTAATTGCGATTACGATAAATTTGTATAATATTAGGTTCGTTCGTTTACTTTCCCAGTAATATTTACTCAGTAAGAATTTGCAGAGAGTAAATACGAATTTTTCCTTTTCAAGAGAGAAAACTGCAAAAAGTAAACGAACAACATCCAGTAGAAAGATTGTTTCGACACAGCTGATTAAAACAACAAACAAATTGGCGCAAACTATAAGACAGCATTTTTATTAGAAAAATGGATAACAAGCGGAAAATTGATGTTGTTTGTTCCCCATAAACATTTGAAGGGTTGTGACCTGTTATTCCTGTATCTGCAATTGATATGGGGTGGACATAACCGATGGTGTTCCAGACATGTTAGGGATGCACACTTTTTTGTTTCGATTTGGAACCTAAAAAATCGTTCGCCAATTACTCTTATTACTCTTATTTTTAAATACTTGCGTTTTCTTCATCCATTTTGGTATTTAATGATACAAAATCAAAATAAAATTCACAAAACAATCAATTTTCTTGAGAACAATTTTTTGTTTGTTTACAAAACATAGCAAAACAGCTGATTAAATATCAGCTGATGGTACAAGAAAATTCTTACTGAGTAAATTTTCCTTGTAAGAATTTGCAAATACTCAGTAACACAACTGTCAAATCTGCTCTCTCAATTCACTCTCTTTTACTGGACTTTTGGGTAAACGAACAACATTTTGTAATAATTTGTACAAATTCGTACAAATTATTGAGTAAACGAACGAACCTATTAATTTGAGTGCACAGATTTCGGAAGCAATTAAAATAATTTATTGAGGTACATATTTGGGCAAAAAATGGAGGGTGTGTTAGAAGATTGCGGAATTGACAATGACATCTCGTTATGGTTGAATAGAATTTTATTATTGTTTTTGTTCTTTTCTTTAATTGATCAGAGCTTTTAGAATATTTTTGAAGAATGCCCTACGGATACAAGTGTGGATTTTTTAAAGAATATTTTTGAAGTTCCAGTAGAACTATTGGTTTTTAAAGGTTATTTATTGAGGAAATGAGAAGAACTATAAGTGTGGATTTTTGAAAGAATATTATTGACTACATCAGATATAAGCGTGGATTTTTTGAAGAGCCAGTAGAATATTTTTAAAGGACCAGTAGATCTATAACCGTACTTTTTTGGAAAACCTATAATGGTATTTATTTTGGAAAACCAGTAGAGGTATATGTGTGGATTTTTCAAAGAATATTTTTGAAAGAACCCAAATATGCACATCCAAAAATCCTCAAGCATCAATTTTTTTAAAGAAATGTTTTGATGAACAATTAGAGCTGTAAGTGTGGATATTTTAAACAATATTTTTTGAAGAACCAGTACAGCTATAGGCTTGGATTTTTTAAAGAAAGTTTTATTGGGAAACCAGCACAGCTATACGCGTGGATTTTTAAATGAAACCCAGTAAACCTGTCAACGTACACTCTCAATTATTTGTTGACATTTCCAGTTAAAATCACTGTGATTTTTTGTTTATTTTCTTGAAAGTCCGTAATATTCAACAAAATATTGTGTAATTTGTATAAATGTTTAATTTCAAGCAGAAATAATATCAAAAAGCATTGTTTCAACAGAATATTTTTAAAATTAAACACATTATGTAGCAAAGACACTCGTATCCAACAAAAAGTGTGTGGGATTAAAGAAGAAGAACAACAAAACCCATAATCACGTGGTGACGCTTAGTTCTTTGTGTTGTTTTGAAGTAAACAGAAGCTATTATTTAAGTTGAAATTTTGTGTATTTTAATCCACTAAAAGGAAAAAAAAACAAAAAATTAATACACAAATTTTTGTTTGTGAAAAGATGTTTGAAAATATTGATATGCATTTTCCTATCCATAAAAGCGAAACCACCATAACAAAATTGGATCAATCAGAATTGGAGACGGCAAAGAAATTGATGCTGATAGTTGTTTTGTCACGCAGAGGGCATTTTGGAGAACTGGCCTATGATATTTCACAAGGTCTGTCTATTTGACCATTTCCAAAAACATGCGGATCCAGAAACAATATTGATACGTTTCTGTTACATATTGAATTGATTTAAACAACAGATGTAACTGATTTAAACAACAGATGTAACTGATTTAAACAACAGATGATGAGAGACAATGCATTTCATACATATGGCTGGAAGGCGAAATTACGAGTATAAAACAGAACAGTAAAAAGGGTAATTTGTTTTAACGTTTACTTCAAAATTGGAATTAGAAATTTATATATATATTTGAAGTTTATTAAACGACATGTACATTAGAACTTTTTGCAGGGTTAACCTACTTTATGAGGATTTATTTGACAAATATGTAATGTAATTGACAATTAAAACCCACTGGGTTTACTTAATCCGGTGTAATGTAAACGTACTGTTATCCTTAATTTAAATGAAATACCACTTTTTTTAGTTAATAAAATATTTTTTTCATTATATCAACAAAGTATTTCATTGAATACAACTACAAATTACGCATAAAAGTGCTTACTTTTGATGAATGTTGAAAATTACTACTTTTTGTGCAGCATATTTTTGCCTATCATTATCATTGTGATTTTAACAAAATAATTTATAGATTTTTTTTTTAGATAGATTATTTTGAAAATCCAGTATCGCTACAAGCGTGTATTTCTTCAATAACCTCTAACGCTATCAATAATATTTAAGCATGGATTTTTTTGGAGAACCAATAGAGCTGTGCGTTGATTTAAAAAAAAAAAACTAATTTGTAATTTGATTTTCCAAATTCTTGAAGGTTGACCATTATTAGCAAAACAATTTTGATATAGGTTCAGGTCCTTCAACAAAATTTGTTTCTAAAACTCCTTTGATTTTGCTATCTATGATACTCCAAAGATTTTTCTATAGGTTAAAGATCTGATGATTGTGTTGGCCTTGATTTTTTTGGAGTATGTTTGGCAAGCTGAAATATCCAAATAAGCGGTATATGTTCTTCAATGCATATGGGTTTTCGATACTTTTCAGAAGTAAAATAACTTTCTTGGTAGTTTCCGCGCCCTGTTCTTGAAGTTATATCCAACGATAACCGTTTTACAAATTCTTAAATGGGTATTTTTTACTGCTATGACAATTTATTGATCAATACGAACTGATGTTCCTTTGCAGCTTTCCTCCGTGCTGAACTGTCACTAGTAGTATTGCCAAAACGTTGTTGATAAAAAATGCTAAATTTTGTTTAAAAAAGTGCTAAAAAATTTAGAAAAGTGCCAAATAGAAGTTCTAAAAATTGTATAAGAAAAACTAGTAGAATTAGCTGTAATTTGATATTTTGGATTCTCATTAGGTTAAAATTTTCTTACCAAAAATGATCAATGTGGGTCTATGTTTCGGGGTAGGTCCTAGAGAATGGAATTTTGGGGACATCGGGAACGATTTTCTATCAAATGTACTATATTTTGAAACTTTTGATTTTTATTGCGTGTCACGTAAAAGTATTAAAACAGGTTTTTGTGGGGTTTTGGAAAATGACATACAGTGGTGGTCACAGAATTAAAACATTTACTGTGGTAAACATTTTTTGATCAGCCCTCGAATCGTTTGAAGTATTTTTGAAATTTTTTTAATTCAGAACACTTCGATATACTGTACTTAAGAGATTTAGTGTGAAAATGGAAGATTATTTCATGCAATTTTTCCATAAATAACGGTTTTTATGAAAATACATGGACTTTGAAGTGGCCATATAATTAAAACATTGTGTGATTTTTTACTTTACTGTATTTTTTGAAAATATTTTCAAAAAACTCTTTAATTTAGTTAAATTATGTAAACTAAGCATCGATAAAGTCATTTACTGATAAAAATTTTTGAAAAAATCTGTAAAATCTATCAAAATCGCCAAAAATTTGTACAGTACACCTTACATTCAGAAAATAACCCTTTTTATAGAAAATAAAGTTCCGAATGCACCAGAAATTGCTAGAATTAGTAGAAAACTATAAATAATTCTCAGAATAAATAAATATTTGAAATAAAAACTGAAAAAATGGGAATTAACCTAAAAGAACGACTCAATTTCGATAGCCTTTATTGAAGAAGGCCAGAATATTTTTGCAGTATGTGAGGAAATATTGATTGATATTGGCATTTATTATATCAAATCGATTGTTCGAGTAGTACAGAATATATTTTATCAAAAAATATATCAGTCACACCAGAACGAACAGAGATCAACACCTATGTTGACGAGAAAACGTTTCTGGTACACAGCAGCATGTTTGATGGTTAACTCTTGACCCTTAAAATCTATTGAACATGACAATATTTTCCATAATAATATTTTTTGAATAGTATAATGTCCATTTAATCTATTTTAGCCTAAAAGAAGAAAAAAATTTACAATTTGACAAATATTTAAAGTCTTGTGTTGAGCATCAAAAATACAGCTGTGTGCCAGAAACTTCTGTACTACTGTACTACTCGAACAATCGATTTGATATAATAAATTCCAATATCAATCGATATTTTCTCACATACTGCAAAAATATTCCGGCCTTCTTCAATAGAGACTATCGAAGTTGAATCGTTCCTTTAAGTTAATTGCCATTTTTTGAGTTATTATTTCAAATATGTATT